ATTCTATCACCTATAATTCCCATCACCTGCAAAAATGCTTAGTTAGTCTTCTACGTATGCTCTACGTGAAACTTAAAAACGAAAATAAAAAAATGAATGTAATGACATGTTTTTAGATTAAAAAGTTAAAAGAAGTATTTTGTAATTTCAACATTTTTACATCATGGAACAGCAGTAAATTGACATTGTCACCATCCTTTACCTAAAGTAATGCTGCTTATACATAATGAAGTTACATAATAATTTACGTGCAAAAAAGTTGTCAAAAGGCAAGTGAATTTTTTTTCCTTTTCTTTTTTCGCCCCCGTTTGATGTACATTTTGAATGTAAGAATGCATTTTTACTGCTGATGTGATGGAGAATATGTGATTGAAAAAGAAGGAAAATTTTTTAATGTGATGGAAAATATTATTTTATTGAAGAATGTGTCGTTGAAAATGAGTAGAAGAATGAGAATGAAAAAAATACTATGGACCAAACGGGCGCTCAAATGGAAAACGAGGGGTATATTCGGTAAACCATATTCTTATATATCGGTGGAGACGCGTCCTTCTCGAACCACCCTCAAAGCTTCTAAATCGCTGTCTCATCATCCACAAGATCCCCTTTAGGGTTCCACTTTCAACCTCACCAATTTTCACACACAGTGCCCAGTGTTCCGGCGATGATGCAGTCAGCGTCGAACTCGATCCCACCACCTCAATACCAGATGCAGCCGCCACAGCAACCTCCGCAGCAGTGGATGCAGCCGCAGCAATCACAATACCAGATTCCACCACCACAACAGCCGTTGGGGTACTACTATTCGCAACCACCTCCGGCAGCGGATGCTCCGCCACAACCGCAGCAGTATGCTGCCGCGATTGCAGCTCAAGCTCAGCACGTCGCAGATGACGGGATCCGAAGCCTCTGGATCGGCGATCTTCAGTATTGGATGGACGAGCAGTATCTGTATAGCTCTTTTGCATCCACCGGCGAGGTGTGTATATTTATCATATATGTTAATTACAAGCACATTCAAACAGCTATTTAGATGCATAAATATATATTCTTACATGTATTTATATACTTATTATGCTTAAAAATTTATTTTTAAGTAATTTTTCATATTAAAAAATGTTTGAATAATTTACTTTTACTGATGAAAAAATTGCTTTTAGAATTGAAACTGTTGATTGAGCATTTTTTTCTTAAGCCTAGAGAACATTGAAATTATTTTTAATTAACTTCTTATATGTTTTAATACCTTAGTTTCGAATAGAAAAAAAAGTTATTTTTTTTAAAGTAACTTACCTTTAACCTTCATCAATAAAAACAATTATTTATTTTTAAGAAGTAAATTTACTTCAACGCAAACTTATTAAGCTTAGCCGAACATGATTTTGTTTAACTTAATGACAAAAAATCTAATCTTTGGTCCGCCAGTTACCAAATGTTAATTTGCTCACGATGTGACTGACTATTTCTGAATTTTAGCCCACCTTAAAGTCACCTTTTAACTTCATCCCTGGAACAGGAACTATGCTAAGCTGAGCCACATTATATTTTTTATTCTCATTCTTCTACTTATTTTTAACCACATATTCTTCAATGAAATAATATTTTTCATCACATCAATAACTTTCCCTTCTTTTTGAACCACATGTTCCCCATTTCATCAACCAAAAAAATGCATTCTTTCCACAAAAATGCCTACCAAACAGATGCTAAGTCAAGAAGACTTTTGGCTTCCTTTAGTGAAAAATTATTGTATGCTAAGCTTAGATTAAGCTCTTCACTTTTAGCAAGCATCCCTCGTGGGGTTTTTTTTTCCACACTTTTATTCTCATTGAAGCATAAATCTGAGAGAGTGAGAATGAAGCTGGTGCACTTAGTTACTTGATCCCTACAATGCATGTTTTGAGATAAAAATCAATTTCAAGAGAATCTTTACTTTAATGGTGTAATCAAATGGTTGGGCAAGCCTTTTCTAGACAGTAATTGCATGTCTGGAGGAGCTTAAGTGAGTGGTCTTGCATCTGCGAGCAACATGTTCAAAATTTTCTCAATGGAGGCAGTTCTCTTCACCACCTGAGGAATTGTTGCAAGATTTAGAATTTAATATTTCGTTCTGGTGTAGTATTGTGAAAACATATCTTCATTTGAATTTAATTAAAGATTTCCTAGTTTTGGTAGGTTTGGGATGTATCTTCTATTGACTATGATTAGCTTATTGACATTAGATTTTGGATTTTTCATCTGATTTAAGCCCCTAGTTAGAATAAGTTCTTTGTGTCGGTATCGATCCTATAAATGGATCACATTGTTCCAACAATGAGAATTGAAGAAGTTTGTTTCTTGAAAAATTGGTCTTGTGAGATTGAAATCCGAAGCACTATATCTAGTATTTATTTCGATCTCAGCTAATGTTCCTGAATTCTTTTCATCTTTTCTATCTCTGTTGGTCAAAGCTTGTTCTCTCATCCAATGTATTGCCTTATTGTAAAATTTTTGAGACAGCTCTCTGTTGTTAATCAACTAATAGTCGGTACAGTGCTCATTGAAGCACATTAGTTTTATCAGGAAACATTGTTATGATTTAGAAAACTATCATGTAGGCCATAGACTTTCATCACTGTGAACAAGCCTGTCTAATATTTTTGTGCAACCTTGCAGTGATTTTTACTGTTTAATGTTTTAAGCGTGCACTATCCATGTATAGCTGAAATTTGTGATTGGAACAATGAAATTTGAAGGTGGATACCCAAAAGTGTGTGCACTTTACCCAGCTAGACTATTTGCCACCTATTAGTTTTTATTGAGATTTTGCTCATGGTTCTGTTAGAATTTAATCTCGTGCCATTTGTTCAGGTGATCTCTGCTAAAGTCGTCCGTAACAAGCAAACTGGCCAATCTGAAGGTTATGGATTTATTGAGTTTGTTAGTCATGCTGCTGCAGAAAGGAATCTGCAGACATATAATGGCTCCCTAATGCCAAATATTGAGCAAACATTCAGATTGAACTGGGCATCAATGGGTGCGGGTGAAAAGCGTGACGACACTCCCGAATACACTGTTTTTGTTGGAGACTTGGCAGCTGATGTTACTGATTACATGCTTCAAGAAACTTTTAGGGCCAATTATAGTTCAGTAAGGGGTGCTAAGGTTGTAACAGATAGGTTAACGGGCCGCACAAAAGGCTATGGGTTTGTGAGGTTCAGTGATGAAAGTGAACAGTTGCGAGCCATGACTGAGATGAATGGAAAGTTTTGTTCGACTAGGCCCATGCGAGTAGGTCCTGCTGCTA